TGTCTCCGCCGTGTGTTTGCTGGGTCAACGGTGAAAAATCTGTTGACCAAGCTTTGTTCAAGCAGGGCGTAAGTAAGAATTAGGTCTCCTTTGGAGGCGACGGTACTCCAGGCGGAAGAGGTCAAGCAAATATGGATCCTTTTTGGCGCCTATCCCGATGATGTTTTCGGGTCCTTTCTCACCATGCATGACGAGAGCGTTCGCTGAGTCTCCTTCAAACGACATGGACACACTTTTCGTCATTCAAAGGAAGGTGTCAGTCCGTAAACCGTTGATTTGCAGCGTCTACGTCCATTTGGAGGCACTGGCATTTGCAGTACAAAATTGCAAGTCGTTCGCAAGAAGTAAACCTGAACTTGTAAGAGCGTCTGGAAGGTCGTTGACATGGATCACGAACAGCAGGGTCTCAAAACGGAGCCTTGGGAAACTCCAATGGATGCAGGTGTCGGAAAGGAGAAGGTTGAGCCTACTTTCACTTGGAATGATCAGCCTGCTGGAAATGCCATAATCCAACGTGACATGAACTTGTAAGAGCGCCTGGAAGGTCGTTGACATAGATCACGAACAGCAGTGGTCTCAAAACGGAACCTTGGGAAACTCCAATGGATACAGGTGCCGGAGAGGAGATGGTTAAGCCTACTTGGAATGATAAGCCTGCTGGAAATGTCATAATCCAACGTGGAATTGCCCCTTGAATCACGTAGGACTCGAGTTTCTGGAGCAGCGCGACGTTTGAGAAGTCGAAAAATATGGCATCCGATAGGAGTCCTTCGTCCTCAGCTTGAGTTAAGCTGCCCAGGTTCGTCGTGGTTGTACGAGGGCTGGGATACTGCCAGGATGACCACAGCTAGACAGGAGGACGATTCGGGTTCCCAACCAAAGCCTTTGGCTCAAAAACCTAAGCACAAGGCAGCGGTGTTTAGCGAGAAATGCAAATGCACTATCATTTCTACGGAACAAGTCTTCACATGTTCCAAACCTCACCATGGAGGGCCGGGAGACTGTGTTCGCCAAACCTCTAACCATTGATTAACCTGGCATGACGTTTGAGAAGTCGAAAAATATGGCATACGATAGGAGTCCCTCGTCCTCAGCTTGGGTTAAGCTATCCAGGTTCGTCACACAAAATGGTTTGGGAAAAACCATGTTGAGCTGGAGATATTAAGTTGTTAGAAATAAGATGATCTAGTACAGCTCGCTCGGAATGTGTTCCATCACCTTGCTTGACACGCTAGGGAGGCTTGTAGGCCCGTAGCAGCCAGGCGATGGTCGGCCACTAGTTTTGCAGATTTTTAGTGGCTAACGGCCCTAAGGAGTCTCTAGTGAACAGAACAAATTATTAATATAAGCCGGATACAAGGTCTCGAGTGGAAAAATCCAAGTAAATCTTGACTCACATTTCACAATAGGAGATTCCCTAGTTCCACATTCCGTTGAACCACCGCACCAAGGTGGAGGTTCTACCTTCCAGGTATTCCAAATTTTCGGTGATCGCATTAGTAATCCACAGTTGTGAATAGATTAGTCTAGCGTTTGTAGCTAAAATGTTTTTTCACGTGTAGAGTTACTAGCTGCCAATTATAGCTAACCGGCAGTCACAACAGTCACTCAAAAAAGTCTCAAAGTCACTTTGGACCCAAGAAGCGGGCGCTTGCGGTATATTTCAGTAAAACAAGGTTTCGTACCTTGATGTGACTGATATTTATGGGGAAAAGGGAAATGATACTAAGCATGGAGAGTCGGAGTTTACAAGTGCTACAGGTTGACGTGTCAATTGCCAGCTTCCAAGCAGAGGGAAGGCGGACTCCCTTAAGCGACTGATGAAACACCAGGTAGAAGTGATTCGCCAGTGTAGACGACGTTTTCTTCAGGATCCTTGGATTAACGTCGTCGGGCGCCATTGAGCAGAATGGGTTGATCTTGTACAACATTTGATCAATGTCCTCCACCGTGAAGACCGAGTCGTTTAGAGACCGTTCATCGTTACGCCTGGACAAGACTGGATGTGTTGAGTACGCTGGGGCTGAATATGCACCTGCATAGTGTTCTCTGTAGATTTGAGATATTGGGTCATTTGTGGGTTCTTCATTCCTGTCCCTCAAGGTAAATACGGAGGGCTTGTTTCTGCGGTGGTGTCTCATGTATTTTAACAGCACATTTCTGTTTTCCCTGGCAAGATCCGGAATGGTGGCTTGTTTTCGTAGGTTCCATTGGCGGATTTATGATGTACAGGGGTTCCGCAATTTACGAAATGCCAGCTCATCTGCTGTCTCCTGTAGTCAACTTTTTGATGAGAATTTGAGACCTTTTTTCCAGAAGATGCCGAATCCTTTTAGGTAGCCTGCGGCTCATCCGACTACGTGTTGGTGGCTTGTTTCGTAGGTTCCATTGGCGGATTTATGATGTACAGGGGTTCCGCAATTTACGAAATGCCAGCTCATCTGCTGTCTCCTGTAGTCAACTTTTTGATGAGAATTTGAGACCTTTTTTCCAGAAGATGCCGAATCCTTTTAGGTAGCCTGCGGCTCATCCGACTACGTGTTGGTTTTTTGGACGAACATCGCATCAGCCTACACAGTAGTGCTATGTCCCAGTGGAGCGTGAATTATTACCTAATCAACGAAGTGTCTTTTGTTGGTGATGACCCAATCCAGCATCATCCTCATCATCATCACCGACAGCATGACATGAGTGTTCAACACCAATACTTCACTGCCGTACAACCATGACTTATTTGAAAGCCTTATTATAAACAAAAGAATAAAGATGGATGGGGAAGGGACTTAGTGCTAGCTTAACACAATCATTCCGAGGTACCTACACCTCCAGACATTCACTCAGGCAATCTGGATATAAACTGACAACAAGAACGCCACTGACATCGGTTGGCAGCCATATCTTGTAGTGTCTCCAACCAGGAACAGTGAGGATCACGCGGTCCCCATCCTGGAAGGCGAGTAGCGCCGACAGCACCCAAGCGTTCCGTGATCTCCTTCATACTCCTCTGCCAAGTCAAGGGTTGGCCACCTCTTTGTTTACGCCACTCCGAATTGGGCCCATATCTTGAGTGTCTCCAACCAGGAACAGTGAGGATCACGCGGTCCCCATCCTGGAAGGCGAGTAGCGCCGACAGCACCCAAGCGTTCCGGGATCTCCTTCATACTCCTCTGCCAAGTCAAGGGTTGGCCACCTCTTTGTTTACGCCACTCCGAATTGGGCATGGAAAACAGTACTCTCTTTGGCAAACGATGGTTCGGCATACGTAACGCATGTCCCAGCCAACGCAGCTTCTGGTGCTGGACACATTCTTCAATGGAAGTACCCGTTACACAACCGAAAACACGCTTTCTAACTGCCTCATTACGGATTCGCCGACACCAACCCACGCGAGCTATGGTTCTAAGACAACGATTGTCGAACAGTTGAAGACGTCTCAGTTCCGCTGCTCGAATAGGCCAAGTCTCACAGCCATACAACAAAACAGCTCGTGCTGTAGCTTGATACACACGTCCCTTCAGATTCAGGGATAGACCATTTTGGCGCCATAGGTGTCTCATGTTAGCAAACGCGGCCCGAGCCTTGAAGATTCGTGCATTCACCTCACACTACAATCAGAACTAATACAACTTCCAAGATACGTAAAACGCTCCACAACTTCCAGTACTTCTCCCTGGATTGTAAGGGCGTGTTCAGTGACTGCACGTCCACAAGCATAACCTTACAGTTTGTGGGTGCAAAGCGCATAACAAAGGACGGGATGACTTTGGTCAGTTCATCCAAGAATGCTTGCACCTTCTCCGCCTCTTCGAACATGAGAACGATGTCGTCTGCATATTCCAGATGGACAAGGTTTTCTTCACAGGCTATTTGAACACCAGGGTTTTGAAGACCCTCCCGCGTTCGTCTCATTATTTAATCGACCACGAAGTTAAAACGGAATGGAGAGAGTGGGCATCCCTGACGGACACCGCTTTGTGTGCGGAAGCTTTTGGAGAGCTCTCCATACACTCTCACACGTCCGAAAGTCTGAAAATACAAAGAACGTATTATGTTCAAAAACTTCCGGGGCATTCCTTGGAGGGTGGGTGTCTCAAGAAGAACAGACCGGTCAACCGAGTCGAATGCGCCTCGGAAATCCAGGAATACTAGAATTGTGGGTCGCCTATACGTATGGCGTTGTTCTAGCACCTGACGCAGTGTGAAGATTTGGTCGACACAACTCCTACCAGGCCGGAATCCCGGTTGCTGCTCTCAAGTCAGTATTTCGCGAGCCACCGTAAGGCGACGAAGCACAATTGATGCCAACAGTCTCGTTACAACCGGGGTCAAGCTGATCCCCCTGTGGTTACCACACTCACTACGCGCCCC